TCTCTCTGTCTTTGTATTTTGCCAGTTTCACTATGATATGTCATGGTGTTAACCTGTTTTTTATTTTGAAGGGAGTTCCCTGTGCCTCCTGGACTTGGATGTCTGTTTCTTTCCCCAGATTAGGGAAGTTGTCAGCTATAATTTATTCAAATAAACCTTCTGCTCCTTTGTCTGTCTCTTCCTCTTCTGGAACTCCTATGATACAGGTATTATTTTATTTTATTGAATCACTTAGGTCTCTAATTCTCCCCTCGTGGTCTAGTAATTTCTTTTCCCTCTTTTTTTCAACTTTGTCATTTTCCATAATTTTATCTTCTATCTCACTTATTCTCTCGTCTGCTCCTTCATCCTTGCTGTCACTGCATCTAGTTTATTTTGCATCTCATTTACAATATATCTTAATCCATCATGACTATTTCATAGGTCTTTGATCTAGGCAGCAATAGATACTCTGCTGTCTTCTATGTGTTTTTCAAGCCCAGCTATTAGTTTTATGACTGTTATTCTAAATTCTTATTCAGATATATTGTTTATATCCAGTTTGAGCAATTCTCTATCCTTTATTCCTGGAAATTCTTTTGAGGAGAATTCTTCCATTTCGTCATTTTGGGTCACTTTCTGTCTTCTACATCTTTCAGTGGCTTGTTATGTGTCCTGCACCTGCAAGTACTACCATATTAGAAAGGAGTCCTACACTGTCCAGGACCTGGCACTTCAGCAAGTGTTTTTGGGGTGTGTTGTGTCTACCCTGTTGTTACATCTTTGGCTGTTCTATCCCACTGCTTGGAGTGGTGGATTGTTTGGACCTTCCACCAGGTGTGCTTTGATTTGTTCATTGAAGTAACCCAGAAAAAAGGAAAAAAAGAGCACATGAACCTTATCCCATACAAAGAGCGAAATGAAAGGGGCAGGGGGGAAAAAAAGGCCAGACAGAGAATCAAAGAAACTATAAGGCTTAATCCAGAGAGAGAGGAAAATAAAGACGAAAGAGATACAGAAAAGGTGTAAAAAGAATAGAATAAAAATGCCTGGTTAAACAAATGAACACCTAGAACAGAAAGAAAAAAAGGATGTATATATATGTGTGTGTATGTGTGTGTGTATATATATATGTACTTATACGTATATACACTTTTATGTGTAAACACATGCACATACATATATATGTATATGTAAATATATAAAAAATAAGAATTGACCAAAAATGAAAGCAGAAACCATGAGCCTGATTCCAAAGGGAAGAAAAAAAAAATCAGAGGGTACAAAGTAAAAGAAGGGAAGAGAGAAGGAAAGAAAAGAAAAAAAAGAATATTTAAAACAAACTAGACTAACATATAAAACCACAGGACAGTTGTCTGTTGGTGCCTGGGATCAGTGGCTATGCTGATCTCGAGGATAGACTATCTGGTTTGGTTAGTGTCGGCCCTACTCTGGTAGAAAAGCTGTTATCAGGCCTGGAGGGGTGGGGTTTGGTGCAAGTGGGTCCTGCCTCCACTGGGGGCCTCTGTCCTGTTCCCTGAAACTCCATTGTGTTGGTGATGGGGGGGGAAATGGCGACACCCAATTCTCTCCTCCCCAGACTGGATGTTTCAAACCATGCTAGTCAGGCAGCCCTCATAGGACTGCCTGCCCTGCTCCACAGTCCTGTGTACCTCCTAGGCTCTCAGCTGGGATGAAAACCTGGTGACTGAAAGGATCCTGTACCACGTGGACCTGTTCTGGGGTAATACCATCCAGGCACCCCTAGAATATTTTATTTATTATTGTTTATTGTGATTTACGATGATGATCTTTTATCGTGTTTTATGCAATAGAACTGACATGCATCACTTGTTAATAGTGTGAAATGCCTATTCTTCATGGGTACAGATAATTTTATAACAGGTATTTATAAAATTTAGTTTGGTAAACATTGTTTTATTAAATTCTTCATTTTCTCAATGCTATATTTATTTTGCAATTCTGGATTCTCATTTATTTAGATTATCCATCAGATAAGCTTGGTTTGTATTACTTACCATTGTAATATACTATCTGTCCTGCAGCATTTATTTATATGACATATACAAAAAATTATGTATAATACTTTTTTCTCCTCGGTTATGAGAAATGTATTTACTGCCAATTGGTATGTGCTTTGGGGTCATGGTGGAAAAATACTGTATCTTAGAAGATGTGTGGACAAGGATGTGGAGAAAAAGGAACCCTTTTGTACTGTTGGTGTGAATGCAAATTGGTACAGCCACTGTGGAAAAGAGTATGAAGGTTCCTCAGAAAGTTAAAAATAGAGCTACCTGGGGTGCCTGGGTGCCTCAGTCAGTTGAGTGTGCGACTTTGGCTCAGGTCACGATCTCATGGTTTGTGGGTTTGAGTCCCATCTCAGACTGGGCTTTGCACTGACAACTCAGCCTGAAGCCTGCTTCCTATTCTTTGTATCTCTCTCCCTCTCCCCCTCCCCTGCTGGTACTCTGTGACTCAAAAATGATTAAACATTAAAAAAAAAAAAAAAAAAAAGCTATCATACAATCCCATTATCACACTAGTGGGTATTTACCCAAACATTACAAAAACACTAATTCAGAGGGATACATGTACCCCTATGTCAGTAGCATTATTTACAATAGCCAAATCATGGCAGCAGCCCAGGTGTCCATTGGTAGATGAATGGGTAAAGAATATGTGGTATATATATACAATGGCGTCTTATTCAGCCATAAAAGAATGAAATCTTGCCATTTACAACTACATGGATGGAGCTAGACAGTATAATGCTCAATGAAATAAGTCTGTCAGAGAAAGACAACCATATGATTTCACTCGTATGTGGAATTTAAGAAAGAAAGCAAACAAGCAAAGGGAAAAAAGAAAAGACAAACCAAGAAACACTTTTTTTTAAAGCTTATTTATTTTAAGAGAGAGAGAATCCCAGGCACACTCCACACTGTCCGTGCAGAGCCCGATGCAGGGCTCAAACTCACAAACCATGAGATCATGACCTGAGCTGAAGCCAGGCACTTAACCCACCGAGCCACCCAGGCACCCCAAGAAACAGACTCTTAACTATAGAGAGCAAACCGATGGCACCAGAGGGGAGGTGGGTGGGCCATGGTTCAAGAGGTGATGAAGACGAAGGAGCACACGTGCCCTGATGAGCCCTGGGCGATGTGTGGAAGTGCGGAGTCACTTTATTGTACCCCTGAAATTAACAGAACACTGTATGTTAACTATACTGGAATTTAAAAGGAAAGAAAAATACCCTTTCTTTGACAGCTAACATAATTTTGTACAGTGTGAGTGTTTTTGTCATTGGGTATTTGAAACAGGCTATCCTGAGATTAATTTGTATTACAGATGAGCACTCTTTAGTAAAAAATCCTGTTCCTTTAGGTATTCCTAAAATTTTGGAGATCATGGAAAAGTTTTATGACTGTGCTCAGTACAAGTATTAATTTTATTGTTATATGTTGAGAACATTACATTCGTTTGCTAACTGTAATTAAGAGGATACCTCTGGCTCTTTATATTTTGTAGATGTTTCTCCTACGCACGTGATCAAGAAATTACAACCAAAGGAGTATAGTAATACAGGAGAAGTATTCCAGGCAATGATGTTGGAAGGGCACAAAGGCCACGAAATCAAAGATTTTTGCTTCAGGGAAATCCAGAAAAATGTGTATGACTTTGAGTGGCAGTGGAGAGATGATGAAATAAATTAGAGACATGCCTGTAACCCGTAAATACAGTCTCACTGATAGAAGAGATCAATCTGGTACGAGGGATGCAGGAAACAAGCCTGTTGTAAATAGGCCTGGATTAAGCTTTCAGGATGAATGGCATGTGTTTCATACTGAAGGGAAAATCTATGAAGGTAATCAAGTTGATAAGCATGTCAACACTGGTTCCTCAGTTTCACCACTTCAAGAAATTTCTCCTAGTGTCCAAACCAACATTTGTAATAAACATGGGAGTGATTTTATTCAGCCTTCGACACTAACACAGGATGAGAAATCACATGGGGAAAAACCTTACAAATGTCACGACTGTGGCAAAACCTTTAATCAGGGTTCACACCTCAGCATACATCAGATAATTCGTACAGGAAAGAAACCATATAAATGTCATGTATGTGAAAAGCTCTTCAGTCAAAATTCACACCTTACAAATCACCAGAGAATACACGTTGGACAGAAACCTTACAAATGTAACGGGTGTGGCAAAGCCTTTAGTGTACGTTCAAGCCTAACAAACCATCAGCTAATCCATACTGGAGAGAAACCTTACCAATGTAGTGAATGTGGCAAGGCTTTTTGCCAGAGTTCAAAACTGGTAAAACATCACAGAATTCATAGCAGAGAGAAACCACACAAATGTAATGAGTGTGGTAAAGCTTTTATCCAAAGTTCAAACCTGGTTGACCATCAGAAAAGCCATACTGGAAAGAAACCATATAAATGTACTGAATGTGGCAAGGCCTTCAGGATTCACCAGAGAATTCATGCTGGAAAGAAACCTTTCAAATGCCATGTGTGGCAAAGCCTTTACTCAGGGCTCACACCTCACTAAACATCAGATAATCCATACTGGAGAGAAACCTTACCGATGTAATGAATGTGGCAAAGCCTTTACCAAGCGTTCACACCCTAGGCATCATGGGAGAAATTATACTGGAGAGAAGTCATATCCACGTGTTGAATGTGGCAAAACCTTTCGGTAATGGTCTGACATCAGGATTCACCAAAGAATTCATGCTGGACAGAAACCTTTCAAATGTAATGAGTATGGGGGCGCCTGGGTGGCGCAGTCGGTTAAGCGTCCGACTTCAGCCAGGTCACGATCTCGCGGTCCGTGAGTTCAAGCCCCGCGTCGGGCTCTGGGCTGATGGCTTGGAGCCTGGAGCCTGTTTCCGATTCCGTGTCTCCCTCTCTCTCTGCCCCTCCCCCATTCATGCTCTGTCTCTCTCTGTCCCAAAAATAAATAAAAAACGTTGAAAAAAATTCAAATGTAATGAGTATGGAAAAGCCTTTACTCAAGGCTCACACCTCAGTACACATCAAATAATCCATACCAGAGAGAAACTTTACAAGTGTAATGAGTGTGGCAAGGTCTCCAGTCAGAATTCACACCTTATAAATCCCTGGAGAATCCATACAGGCGAGAGACCTTTCAAATGTAAGGAGTGTGGCCAATCCTTCAGCATCCATGCAAGCTTAAATAAACATCAGGTAATCCATACGGGCGAGAGACCTTACAAATGTAATGAGTGTGGCAAGGCTTTTATCACGGGTTCACACCTTAGACTTCATGAGAAAATTCATTCTGGAGAAAAAACATACAAATGTATTGAATGTGGCAAGGCTTTTAGACAATGGTCTGACCTCAGGATTCACCAAAGAATTCATCCTGGAGAGAAACCTTACAAATGCCATGAGCGTGGCAAAGCCTTTACTCGAGGCTCACCTGTCACCAGTCATCAGATAATCCATACTGGAGAGAGCCTTATAAATGTACTGAATGTGGCAAGGCTTTTAGGTATTGCCTTAAACTCAGGGTTCACCAAATCATTCATATTTACAAATGCAACAAATGTGGCAATGTTTTAAATTAGTACTCTTCACTGGATATGAGTAAATATCCTGGAGAGAAACCACACAGATGTAATGTGTGTGACAAGGATTTTACCCAAAGATCAGAAGTTCGGGAACATACTAGAGCATATACCTTATAAATGCAATGAGTGTGGCAAAGCTCTTAGCTTGAGTTCCAAGTATTTTGCAACAGGAATCGATGTTGAAAGGAAACCATGTAAGTGTGGCAGAGCCATTATCCAGTCCTTGCAGAGAAATCACAGAAAACTAATGTGCGTGCTAAGGCTTTTGCCCCAAGGCCAAAACATCAGAGGATTTATATTGAAGAGGCACCTTACAAATGGAAATAATGTCATAAGGCTTTCATTAAATGCTCACACCTTTGGAGTAATGAGAGAATTTATGCAGGGAAACTATACCAAATATGCTGAATGTGGAAATACCTTTAAGAAACTGTGCGTCCTTAGGATTCACCAACAAATTGGTACTGGGGAGATTCCTTGCAAATCCTTACAAATATGATAAGTATTTTGACCAGTTCACAGAACAGACCACACATTAGAGAATCCAGGAATAATTGGATCCGACTGGAATAACTAGGACTTTAGATCTCGGAGATTAACCTGAAATGTTCCACACTGCATGATAATTATGTCAAAAATTGCTAAAACTCCTATATCATGGGAACAAGGACATGTGTGGAAGTAGCTCATGATTTTCTGTGTATAAGATACTTACCTGAGTTTTCTTGAAAAGGCTATATTTTATGAGTTTGAGTTACATTTTATTTATGAGTTTCACCCTCAAGTTTGAAATCTGTTGATCTTAAGCCTTTCCTGATGGTCTCTGAGGAGCAGTCATAAGATGAAGGGGCCTACTTCATTGTGTGTGACCCATTCATATCCGTGTTCCCTGGAACAGCAAGGACATGGAGTTGTCAGATTTAATTTTGTGTGAATTTGCATGGGGTAGGGGCAGAGAATAATGCAAAATCACCCTTGAGGTTGTCACGCATGTTATGATCAGGGCACTCTCCTCTAGATGAGTTACAGGGACTGACCTTTTCATGCAATGATGGTGATAGTTTGTTTGCTAGGGACGGATTATGTGGTAGAAACAATGCAGGGGAAGATAGTAATAGCTGTGCGATACTATCAATGACAAACTGATGGATCATTAATGCCATTCCTTTTTTTTTTTTGGAAAATGAAGGGAGCAGTTATCTGAGAGGGCAGTTGAATCCAGAGAACCACAACAGTATGTTCATGATTCATAGTTAACTCCTGCCATTACATTTTGCTACTATTTTCTGCAGGATGTATCACAAGTCTCACGTTTTCATTAATAAAGTTTAAATCATTTTTCCCCATAACCCTGAAGGAGTCATGTTCTTTTTCTAACAGTTTTATCCCAACTCTATAGAGCACTTTGTAACACATACTAACAACCTTTAGGCTCTCAAGGTTGAAGAAACCTATAATAATTTCCTTCCAGGATGGAATTAAAGGACAGACAGTTTGAGGATTATATACTTAAACTTTGCACTTGAGTTCTTCTCTCCATACTTTGCCGCAGGATATTTATGTAGTTACAATGAAATGCCACAGCAGTGCAAGTTCAAGATTCTGATCCTCTAAAACCTGCCCCCCATTCATGAATATGCACCATATGATTCTACTTCATGTGTTTTGTGCCCAAATAAAACCCATGGTTTCCACCATGATGTAAACAAAATGAAAATAGGAACATAGTACACATGAAAAATTCAGAAATAAAATAATTTCAGAAATAAGGCCAAAAATAATCGTTTTGAGCTTGGAGCACTAAAGAAGTAATTTAGAATGAACAATATACAATGGGAACATTTATTTCATAGTTAAACTAGAAACTTCACATATTCATTGCCTAACACATTTTTGTTAACTTCCACTTGTGGCCATCCACTGGAACAGATGGACCCCTAACCAAACTTGGGTTTGGGTATCGAGACTAGGGAGAGCACAGACTTCCAAGCTGGTCAAAAAAAAAAAAAAAAAATGGCTTGAGGGAAGAGGAAATGGTGAGTGGTTTGGTGTGTTTTGGGTGGTGACTGGGTGGAGCTGGGGGAGGATGCCTTCTGTGGTTTGAACTTCCGGCTGATACCAAAGGAAGGAGCACCAGGCTTTTCTCTCAGCTTGGGCAGGTGGGCAGAACAGATGTGGTGGTGAGAACAGGCTTAAAAGGTGTCAGTCACCAGCCACCAAAAAATGGATACTCTTTAGTAATACACTGAATATGTAGTCTTGAAACTCCTGATGTCTTGGTTGGGAAAGACAAACTTTTCTTCATGCTAATTTGTTACATTCCTTTTCCTTCTGTACACCTAGATTCCATTGTATGATGTGCTTGTCGAAATGCTTATAGAATACTATTTAGATAAATTGCCTTAGGATATTTTTATGCTAGCTTAATGAAGATGTTTGGAAATGCTTATTAGATCATAAATGTTACTAAACAATTTTATTAGAACAATTTTCCAGAGGATTTTAAAATGTGAATTTCAAAGTATGGTCTTGAACAATTCATTCCATGGCTCACTTTCAACTGTAGTAAAACTTCTTTTTTTAATACAATTTTCCCGTGACCCAGATTGTATGTTTTATCTACATTTTTTTCCCAGTTTACACCAAGGGATACATAAGTCAGTGGGTTGTTGGGAGACTCTTGTGACGTGAAAAATGCATATGAGATGGCGACAGGTACAAAGTAGGTGCCAAATCTGAAGAGTTCCTTCAGGTCTTGAGTGAAATAACTTGAAACATCTTAACTGTAGTAGTTGGCTGTGGTCTGGTGCTTGGAAACCAAGTGTGTGGAGGTTAACAAGCACACAGTGAAGTAAATGAAAAATAATGATGAATAAGATAGAAAGTCCCAGCGATTCCAACCCCAGTGTCTGACAAGGAGATGATCTGCATTGCCAGTTGCCTGGAGGCCATTCTGCCATTTCCCAGTGACTGATTCTTGTCTTCAGAGCCACAGGTCCCTGCACTGGAACGTGGGCTCATATTTCTTTTACTTTTTCTTTTCTAAGCAATCATACATGGTATTGTTTTTAAGTAGGTTTCATGCCCAGCTCAGAGCCCAATGGACGGCTTCAACTCCTGACCCTGAAATCAAGACCTGAGCTGAGGTCAAAAGTCAGACACCTAACCAACTGAGCCACCCAGGCACCCCAGTATTGTACTTTTAATTTCAGGTTCAAGGTGTAAATTGCTAGTGTATAGAAATGCAGTGGATTTTTGCATGCTTCTGTGTTCTGGCACTTTGTAAATTTTCGTTCTTCTAGAAATTTTTGTACGTTCCTTTGTATTTTCTATACATACCACTTCAAAAATATTCCTGTTGATGCTGTGACAAATTACCACAGCCCGAATGACTTTAACAAATCTATTCTCTTACAGTTCTGGAGGCGAAATGTGTAAAATGGATCCATAGCGCCGTGCTCCGTCTGGATATGCCAGGTCAGATTTTGTTTCCTTACCTTCCCATGTCTGGAGGCCACTTATATCCTCTGCCTCATGGTGGTCCCCTTCCTCCCTCTTTGAAGCCAGCAGGATAGCATCTTCAAACGTGTTTACCTCTGTCATCACTTCACCAACCTTTACATAAGTAACTCTATCTGCATCCTTCTTATAAGTCCGTCGGGACCGTATCGCATTTACCAGATCATCCAGGATAATCGCCCACCTCATGATCTTCACCAGAGCACATCTGCAGACTCCCTTACGACATTCACAGTAACACTCCCATGTGATAGGCACGAGGACGTGGCCATCCTTTGGGATGAGTATGTTATCCAGCCTAACACAACCATGATGGCTTCTGCAAGTAACTACTATTTTATCTTCCTTTTCTCTCGTTATCACTTTTGTTTACTCCTCTTCTGTCACTGACTAGAACTTCTGATAACATATCAAATATCAGTGTGGAGAGTGGACATCCTTGCCTTGTGTCCAGTCTCTGAAGAAAAGCATCCAGTCTTTCACCATTAGGGATGAAGCTTGCTGTAAGTTTTTTGCAGGTGTTCTTTACTGAGTGTAGGAAATTTCACTTTGTTCCTAGTTTTCTGAAAGTTTAGATCATAAATAGGTGTTGAATTTTGTCAAATGCTCCTCTGTATCAATTGACAGGATCCTGTGATTTTTCCTGTCCAGCCTGTTAACATGATGGCTCATACTGCTGGAATTTGAAACTGCTTTCTGTCCCCCAAATAAACCCATTTGGTCATGGTGTACAATTCTTTCTGTGTATTGCTGACTTCCACTGTTAATAGTTTGCTAAGAATTTTTGCACCTTCGTTTGGGATTTCTTTGGTAGTTATCTCCCCCTGCCTCCTTAATGTTTTTGTGTAGTTTTTTTTTTTTAATAATTTTTTTTTCAATGTTTATTTTTGGGACAGAGAGAGACAGAGCATGAATGGGGGAGGGGCAGAGAGAGAGGGAGACACAGAATCGGAAACAGGCTCCAGGCTCCGAGCCATCAGCCCAGAGCCCGACGCGGGGCTCGAACTCACAGACCGCGAGATCGTGACCTGGCTGAAGTCGGACGCTTAACCGACTGCGCCACCCAGGCGCCCCTATCTCCTTCTATTTTGAATGATAGCTTTGCTGGATAAAGAATTCTTGTCTGCATATTTTTCTGATTCAGCACATTGAATATATCCTGCCACTCCTTTCTGGCCTGCCAAGTTTCTGTGGATAGGTCTGTTGCAAACCTGGTCGGTTTTCCCTTGTAGGTTAAGGACTTTTTTTCCCTTGCTGCTTTTATGATTCTTTTCTTGTCTATGCATTTTGTGCATTTGAATATGATATGCCTTTTGATGGTCGTTTCTTTTTTTTAATCTAATGGGAGTTCTCTCTGCTTCCTGGATTTTGATGTCACTGTGTTTCCCCAGGTTAGGAAAGTTCAGCTAGGATTTGCTCACATAAACCTCTACCGCTTTTTTTCTCTCATCTTCTGGGACCCCTACGATTTGAATGTTATTCCTTTTTAATGAGTCACTGAGTTGTCCAATTCTTATATTGTGTTCTCTTGCCTTAGTTTCCCTCTTTTTGTTTTCTTCTGCTTCATTATTCTCCATAATTTTGTCCTCTGTATTGCTGATTTGCTGCTCTGCTTCATCCATCCTTGCCGCCATGGCATCCATTTGAGGTTGCTTCTCAGTCACAGCAATTTAAATTTTATCCTGACTAGATTTTACTTCTTTTATCTCCACAGAAAGGGATTTTTTTTCATTCCCAGCTAGTATTCTTATTATGATTCTAAATTCTGGTTCAGACATCTTGCTAATATCTGGTTTGATTAAGTCCTTGGATGTCATTTCTTTCTGTTCTTTCTTTTGGAGTCAATTCCTTCGTTTGGTCATTTTGGAGGAAGAAAAAGATTTAATAAATTTTTTTTTTTAAATAAAAAATTAAAACCACCACAAAAAAAAAAAACAATCAAGTAAAGCATGCTAGATCCTAGGTGTGTTTGGTATTGTTGAAAAAGCTTGATAGAGTAGACAAAAAATGGAAGGAAAAGAAAAGGGAAAAAAAAGTTGGAAAACATTTGAAACTTTAAAAATACGAATACAATAAAATAGAGTGAAATGAAATGATGAAAGTAAAATAGAATAAAAAATTTACAAAAGAAATATATTAGGAGAAAAATAAAAATCTTTTTTATAAAAATGGAAAATAAAAATGAATTTTTTTTCTGTATTCAAGGGTAAGAAAAAGAAAATTGAATAGACTAGTGCACAGAATGAAATACAAATGAAATTATATCCAGTTTCCCCAAGAAGTCAAACTATGAAGCACTTTATAGTCCGTACACTAACCAGACAGAGACTTGTGGTGTTCATCTAGAGCATTGTTGGCACAGTTGACAGGATTTGGTCTGACGGCTCTGTTCTCCACTAGATGGCGCTGCTTAGCTTACTGGGTTGGATCCTTGTGCATGTATGTGCATGTGTGGGATAGTTGAAAATGGCATTACCCAACTACCCATTCTCTAGCATAAGAACTCTGTGCTCTTGCCAAGGGGCAATCAAGCAACCCTCTTTGTCTCCAGCTTCCTTACATTGCCTGCTTCTACACTGTCTGTGACCAAAATGTCAAGCTGCCAGGTAGCACCTCCCTCCCAAATTTCATCTCCAACTGGCCTGTGTTTCCAAACCCCTCAATTCTGAGGGCCCCTGTGGCTTGGACCTGCTCTGACCCTCTGGGGAAGGGTCTCACCAAGCAATGGCATGTGCCGGCCTGCCCCTGGGGATGCTTCCCCAACCATGCCACTGCAGAGGCCCAGAATCTGCCACTGGGTGCCAGCCCACCCCCAAAAAAGTTCCCACGATTGTGTAGCAGCAGCATTTCAGGGATTATGGTAAATCACAACACACACCTGGCACCAGACTTCACCACCCCCTAACGTCCTGGTTGCAACACCAGCAAACGTGGCTGTTCTTTTGGGTCTGTTAGGACCTTTGCCTCTGGGGAGGCTCCAGGGCCTCTATCAAATGTCTCCTCACCAGGGGAACTGCCTCTCCCAGTGTGGCCTGAGGACCCCAAGGAACTCACTGTATGCTCCTGGAGATTCGTGCTTCCCACCAAGCACTGCCAGGTACCCAGCCTCGGAGTTTCTGACTCTGCGCTCCCTTTTATAGAGTCTTAATTATATTTAAACCCTCTCCTTTCTCCTTTCTCCCTTTCTTGTTCAGTCCCTTGTTTCCACTCGTTCTCTTTCTCTCTAGCTGCTTTGCGGGGTGGGGGGAGTACATTTCCTATACTCTCGCCACTTTCTCCGTCCTTTCTCTGCCAGCAAAAACTTCTCCCTACCCTCCACGCGTTCTTTCTCCCCCAGTTCACTTCTCCATGCTGCATACCTGCTGAGTTCTGTGGCTCAAGTTATGCAGATTGTTGTGCTAATCCTCAGGGCAATTTTCTACATGTGCAAAATGGTTTTGTGCTGATCTAGTTGCATTTCAGGGATGAGAGAAGCAGAAAACTTGAATGCTGCTCTGCCATCTTGGCCCCTCCTGGCATATGTTCTTGGGGGAAAAATATGTAATGTCCTGTGTTTGGGTGGTATTCTAAAAATGTTGATGAGGTCATGTGACTTGATGGTGTTGTAGAGTTCATAGGTGTCCTTCTGACTTTCTGTCATTGTTCTATCAATTATCGAGAGAAGTCTCGAGCTGTAATTGTCAATTTATTTCTCCTTTCAGTTCTATGAGTTGATCATCAACATACTTTACAGCTATTCTTTGGTGCATATACACTCAGGAGTGCTAAGTCACCTTGTTTGACCCTTTTATAATGTAATTTTCCCTTTTTTACTGAGTAATTTCATTTTCTCTGAAATCTATTTTATCTGGTGTTAATATAGACATTCCTGCTTTCTTTCCATTGAGGTTTACATGGTATAAGTTGTGCATTTCTGTAGATATTGGGGTTCAGATAATTGTTTCATGTATGAAGCTGTACTGTGCATTGTGAGGCATTTAGCAGCATCACTGGCCTGTACCCACTAGATTCCAGTAGAACCACTGCAATGATGACATTAAAAATGTCCCCAGACCTTTGCAAATGTTCCCAAGGTGGGGGGATTGTTATCACCTCTTTATATCAATTCCACCAATATGGAGCTCAGGAAAGCAAAAGATACTACCATGCCACTTTGTTCTCAGCTGCATTGAACACAGTATTCCAAGAAAGACCTGATGTCAGAAGTGAATGAGCTGATTTGCAAGTAGGATTTAAGGACGTAACTGTGCCTCATCGCCAGCCAGTAAAACTTGGCATTAATGAATACTTGGAGGATCAAGGGCAAGTTAAAATTCAAAATCATGGCAAAGTCTACATGAAAGACATGGCCCTAATCAATGCCCTTTGATGTAACCTACAGTTGACTAAAGTAGATCCGATGGGATTGCTTCTCTGGACAGGATGACTTAGTGAACAGAAAGCACAAGTGTGGCTCTACTAGAGGGGCCGAGAGGCTCAATGACCCTGGAATAAATATGAAGAGCATGGCATGTCTAGCTAAATATGGTGGGGGTAGCTAATAAAAAATGTAGCTGTTTGGTGACACATACAGTGCTATTTAAAAAATATTGTGCTGTCCACCTTGGGCCAAGTTTGCACCATAAGGAAATTGGGATCATGCAATAATGTTTGGTAATGTACATTATGATGGGAAGGAAGTCACTGGGGAAAATGGCTGGTTGTACAAGGAAGGCAGGGTTTCTGACACTTCAGCAGATGTAACTATATGAAGTCAAGAACAGTGAAACACAAAGGACTAGATGGCTATTCTCAGGGGAAAAGCAGGAACCTAGGAAAGGATTGTTCCTTATTCCTGCCCCTCTCTGTTTGCTGTGGACCAGAGACTGCTGGGTCCCTCCTTTCCTTTTCTTTTCTGAGTGGGAGAGTTTATTGAGGTTTTTTGTGTTCCGCCATAATGTGTTAGGAGTGAGGACTCCACGTAAGGCTCTCAACCAAGAGGAATCTCACGAGACTGTTGTGAGACCCTCCCGTGTGACTGTAGTCATGTTTGGGTAGAATTTTTTTCTTCATTTGGGACAAACGTAAGTGTATTTTGTGTGAAATACAAAGAAGGGATAAATGATTTCTGATAGAAGTTGCACTGTCATACATTGTAAGATTTCCAATTAATTACCACCCTCTTGTGAGATTGTATGTCTCTGCTCTTTGATATCAAGCTTGGCCATTTGACTTACGCAACCCTTCCTTCTTGTTGAGGGGACTACACTTCTTTCTCAGTTTATAGCCACCTTGACTAATGTGGTATGAGTAGAACGGCATATTTTAAGTGTAACAGAAGCTTTAAAAGCTTTGTTTGCTCCTTCTAACCCTCTCTTCTCTCTGGGACAAGAATGGTTATGTCCCACATACTGAAGTTCTACCCTGAATCCCAGACTCAAATGACAGAACCAAGCAAGAGGTGAATAATGATAGAAGTGATATGAGGAAGAAATAAATGTTTGTTTTTGTAAGCCCAGGAGAATTCAGGGATATTTGTTACCATAGAAAACCCTTCTAGAAAGCTGACTGGTACTTTGTGACCTTTTCTTTTCTCCTTACCCATCTTAACTACCCAAAGTCATTGTCTCCAGTAATTGTACCACCTTTGAAATCACATTTTTGGTTATTCCCTTCCTATGTTACTACCCTCATATCTGCCATTTTATATTCTCTACTTCCATTAAAATATCCATTTATTTTTAATTTTATTGCT